ACACACACACACACACAGACACACACACACACAGACACATGCAAACACACACACGCACACACACACACAGACACACACATACAGACACACACACAAACACGCACGCACGCACACACACACAGACGCACACACAGACGCACGCACACGCACAGGCACAGACACAGACACACGCACACGCACGCAGGCACACACACACACACACACACACACGCACACAGATACACACACAGACACACAGAAACACGCACACAGATTCACACACAGACACGAGACACAGACACACACACGGACACACACACGGACACACTCAGACGCACGCACACGCACAGGCACAGACACAGACACACACACACACGCACACAGATACACACACAGACACACAGAAACACACACACACACACACACACACACACACACACACCCACACAGAAACTGACACACATTCCTCAAGGCTGAATCTATTAGTGAATACACACGTGTTATTATGTAGATCTCAGGCAGTTTTGCATTTCGTCTGATTCTGCGTTTCTCAACTGCTTTTGCTTCAGGAATCAGATTTTCAAAAGCCAAAATAGTTTATTGTGCAAAACTAAACCAAAATCAAACTCATTAACATCTTCATGAACTGCACAGACATAAAACTATTCCCAAACATTAATTTAGCAAGCTGGATGAAAATTGACCTTTTTGTTTTCTAACAGTCTCTTGAATTTTGGGGCACACTTATTTTTGTTACACATCTTGTCGATATTGGCATCTAATTTGACCAGCTTCTACCAAATAGCAGTTTATTTTGCAACAGAATACGTAAACATGCTACCATAAGTTTGGGGTCAGGAGATTTTTTTAATAATAATAATAATAATAGTTATTTAGCTTTGCATCACAGGAATATATTACATTTTAAAATATATTACAATAGTAAACAGCTATTTTAAATGGTAATAATGCAGTAATAATACGTACAGTCTTTGAGATGAACAACAACAAATGGGAAGTGTTTTCTTCTCCCTTTTTAAAGTTGACAGGCCTGTTTATTTGGCTATTTATCATCCTGTCCTGCATGATTATGTGGTTAGCTGCATGTTATTATTTTACGCCTGCGATCAGAGCAGAAACGTGATCCGCTGTTGGATGTGGAGCATCATTGAGAAGCGCTGCTGCAGACCATAAGAGCAGCTGATCTGAGATCAGAGATGAGCATTAAAACACATGCTGTATGTTCAGTCTCATAGACACACTCATCTCATCACTTCCCGGTGTTTTCCTCTCGCCCTCTTCATCTGGACTGGATCATGTTAAAAGCAATAGTTCAGCAAATAATGAACCCTCTCACCATTTACTCCAAACCCTGTGGCTTTCTTCTGTGGAACACATTTAGCAGAATATGCACCTTGTGCGTTTCCATAAAATGCATGCGATGCTCCAAAAACAACATTAAACATCATACAAGTGGTCCATATGTACTGTGCAGTAATATATCATGTGTCAATAAGGGACAGACTGATATTTTCAGATAAAATGTGTTGTTTGAGGGGTAGAGGGAGATTATTTTGCAGATGATTTCTGTGGACATGTATAGTTGTCATATGAACTACTTTTATGGTGTTTTTCGTTGGTTTTGAAGCTTGACAGACAAGGTCACTGTGAACTGGGGTTTGCATGACTCATTTCCATTAGTCCTCTAGAAAAGAAGTTTTGACTTTAGTAAGTAACTGAATATGCTGTGCAGCGTCAGGGCTTTTTGCTGTTTCAGGCAAGCTCAAAGCTGCAAATTGTCTTTTTCTTGTTTTCCAGAAAAAAACACATCTGAACGTCTTTAAAATTTACTGAAGCAAATTTGCCCAAGACATTAAAGTTCATTTTTTGAGAATATTTTTTTTATTAATTTATTTTTAATTTCCTTTTCTTACCCAATTTGCAGATAGTTTTAAATATAAATCTAAACAGTAAATTACAGTTTAATATCCTTTATCTTACACAATGTTAAGAGTTAATTGTTTATTTGGAACGTTTTATTTGGAACTATGATGAAAAACTATTAATAATTAATTAAAAATAAATAAATAAATAAATTGCAATGGGGAAGAAATAAATAAACTTAATTAAAGATTTATTCTCTGAAAACATGTTTGATGTGGAATGTTTTGGTGGAAAATATGACAAAAATATTATTAATATTATTATTATTATTATTAATTAATTTAATTTATTTGTTCTTTATTTTTTGGCAGTTCTGTCGCCATTAGTTAGACTAGTTAACAAATAAATAAATGAATGAATGAATGAATTAATTAAATTCATATTTTTAATTAATTCGTTTTTCAGGAAAATATTAATATATATGAATATATAATACATTGAAACTTGTTTTTAGGGAATATATTTTGAATTTATGTTTCAATTAAGTTTCAATGGGGAAAGAAAAATAAACTTAATTCAAGATATTTTCTGTAATTACACATTTGTAACATTAATTTAAACTTTTTTTCTTCTTCAGTAGTTGCAGGCCTAACAGACTCATTAACCCATTGGTGCAAAATACTACGGAAAAGAGAAGCTTGCACATTCTGTCAAACGTCTCCTTTAGTGCTCCTCTGATTAAAGAAAGGCAGATGTGACTTTGGACTGACATGAGATGAGAGTGACTAAATGAAGACCAAATGATATTTCTGGCTGAACTATTCCTTTAAAAAAGCCCTTCCTCAGCTCTTTCCTCCATCCAGAGTTGGTCTCAGGCCTCTTCTGCCTCTTTCATTAGAGACTCTCTCTGAAGACTGGATGTGTGTGTGTTGAAGCTGTGCTCCGGTCAGCATCATTACAGCGGTCTGAACTTGATTGCAGCGGGGCTTCGCTTTAAACGACGGTTTAAACATGACGATGTGTGTGTGTGTGTGTGTGTGTGTGTGAGTGAGTGAGTGAGTGTGTGTGAGAGTGTGTGTTTGTGTGTGTGTGTGCGTGTGAGTGTGTGTGTGTGTGTGTGTGTGTG